TGTGTGTGTGTGTGTGTGTGTGTGTGTGTAGGGATGTGGCTGGGCTAGGGATCAATGTGATTCAGGAGGCAGATGGGCCTTTGGATTTGAGTGGCTTCCTGCCAAGTCGATGCCATTTGGCCGCTGGCAGAGATAGAGCAAAGTCGTCACGCGAGGAAGGCCTGAGCCTGCTCTCCCATCCTCTTGGCCTGCCCTGGCCTTGTTTTTCCTGAAGATGTGGTTGCGGTGGTGTGTATGTGTGTGTGTGTTTGAGGGCACTGAAGTGGACCATCTCTAGCCAGGAATGGACAGAGGCTGGAGATCTTCTTCACAGGAGGAGGAGGAAGAGGAGGAGGAAGAGGAATAGGAAGAGGAGGAGGAAGAGGAAGAGCAGGAGGAAGAGCAAGAGAAAGAAGAGGAAGGAGGAAGAGGAGAATGAAGAGGAAGAGCAAGAGCAAGAGCAGGAGGAAGAGCAAGAGAAGGAAGAGGAAGAGGAAGGAGGAAACAAGAGGAGGAGGAATAGGAAGAGGAAGAGGAGGATGAAGAGGAAGAGGAAGAGCAGAAGGAAGAGCAGAAGGAGGAAGAAGAGGAGGAAGAGGAGGAGAAGAACAATGATTTCATTTATTAAGGGGGAGGCTATCTCTCTGCTTTTGGGGGAGAATTATTATTATTATTATTATTATTATTATTATTATTATTTACTGAAATTCTACATTCACTAAAAAGATTATAAATGTATATATCACACAACAAGGCACATATTAAACAAACATTAAAAAAATAAACACACACACTATTAAGTAAACTACTAACTTCAACTACACTGCAAAAATATGACTTCCAACTATCTTTTCTGCAGTTATATATGGTAACTTCTAAGTAGCACACTGGCTCTAAAACAGCGTTTTCTGGGAAGCATTTATTCAGAGGAGGTTTAGCTTTGCCTCCTTCTTCCCTATCATGGCTGAGTGGGGATTCGAACTCTGGCCTCCCAGAGGTGTAGCCCAACACTCACATCATACTACCATGCTGGCACTAAAAAATACGGTTTTCTTGGCTGCATCCGCACTGTGGAAATAATCTAGTTTGACACTGCTTTAACTGCCATGGCTCCATGCTATGAAATCCTGGGATTTGTAGTTTACTGTGGCCCCAGAGCTCTCTGACCAATAAGAATAAATGTCTCACCAAACTACAATTCCAGATTTCCGTAGCATTGAACCATGGCAGTTAAGGTGGGTAGATGTAGCCCTTATTAAGATGTATTTATAAAAGGTTTATAGTAGTTTAAATATTGAAGTCACCATTATGCCGTGAATAAAGCAGCAAAATCACCACTATCCCATGAATAAAGTGGCAAAATCACCATTATCCTGTGAATAAAGCGGCAAAATCACCATTATTCCATGAATAAAGCGTCAAAATCACCATTATCCCATGAAAAAAGTGTCAAAATCACCATTATGCCATGAATAAAGCCACAAAATCGCACTGCTTTTTATTGATGGGATTTCCCCGTCAATAAAAAGCAGTGTGATTTTGCTGCTTTATTCACGGGATGAAGCCACGATAATGGCGCCGCCGTGTGAAAAATCGTCCCGTGATTGTGCGGTATTTATGAGATTTAACGGCGATTGAATGACGGGAGGCAGACGCTTGATAAGATCCCATTCTGGCTTTAATTCTGGCCAAGCGGCGGTCACTGCCAAGGAGTGACCGACAGAAAGGGATCCAGGGAAATGCATTAAGAAGGTGCACATATGGGAAGGAGATGCCTTCTGGAAATTAGTGGCTTACAAATCCAAGCAAGCTTGGTGGGGTGGGGGATCTGGGGGGGGGGATCCGGTAAGAAGATTACTGGGCATCGCCACCTAATCGCCATGAGCTCCCTGCACCAAGCTGACCTTGGAATAAAGACACTTATATATTGCAAAATATAAGATCCTCCAATGCAAAGCTATATATCACGGAAGGTCAAAGCCAGGCTCATCCATGCTAAAGTATTGCTGACTTCTGTGCATGGATGGGAAAGATGGACGGCCAAGAAAAGAAAGAGAATCCACTCATTTGAACCGTGGGGCTGGAGGAGAATTCTGCAAATGCTACAAATAAATGGATCCAAGAAGCAAATCGTGCCCGAAGTCTCCCTAGATGCCCAAATGACAACTGTTGTACTTTGGACCCATTGCGAGATGACATGTTGTTGTGTGCCTTCGAGGCATTTCTGACTTACGGCCCAATTATGAGGTTTTCTTGGCAAGGTTTGTTTGGAAGAGGTTTGCCATGGCCTTCCCCTGAGGCTGAGAGAGTGTGACATGCCCAAAGTCACCCAGTAGGTTTCATGGCTGAGCTGGGTGTCCAGAATCATAGGTCCGACAGTCAAACCACTATGCCCTGCTGCCTCCATAGAAGTTGCATTACAGGAATAGTTTGCAAACTTGCACTGAAGAATCATAGCAATAAATTTCTTGATTCGAGGGGTTTTTGGTCACTACTAGGGCCTTTCCGGTCCTGCTTTGATTTACTACATTTGTGTCCCAGAAAGGAGGCATCATGGCACAGTGGTTTGAGCACTGGACTACAATTCTGGAGACCAGGGTTCGATTCACCGCTCAGCCATGAAACTTAGGTACGTCACACACTCTCAGCCTCAAGGGATGGCAATGGTAAACCTTCTCTGAACAAATCTTGCCAAGAAAACCACAGATTAAATAAACAGAATATAGAAGAAGCTGAGCAAGATTGGACCCCAATATTGCCATATTGTAAGAAGGAAAGCTTAAATCTGTAATGAACTATTTAGAATCTCATAGAACTGATCAAAATATAATACACTGTTGGTTTAACACACAGAGGATCTAAATTTAATATTATATTTAATAATAATAATAATAATAATAATAATAATAATAATAATAATAATAATAATAGTTATCCCACCCCTCTGCATACACAACTTCGTATTTGAAGTGAAGACAATAAGATTTAAATGAGAAAAGTTGAATACAAACTGGATGTACATGGGAAGTCAATTGTAAATATTTGAAAATGACAAAATTAGATTATGGATATTATTTAGTATATTTTATTGTAACAGGCGTCTTTTAAAATAAAATAAATTTGTTTAAAAAAAATATATTTGCGAGCCACCATTTTTCGCGGAGGGCTCCAGAACGGATCCCCGCGAATTGGGAAGGGCTACTATCATCATCATCATCATCATCATCATCATCATCATCATCATCTGAACTTATTATCTTGTTGGACCTAAAGGGAGGGCCTGATTCAGTACCTGGAGGAACTGCTTTTGAAAGTTTGGATTAAAACCCAGAACAGAGTCACCAGATGCTACCAAGTATGTATCTTAAAATTAAAACTGCAAGATGATTAATCAAAGAGTTTCTTTGCTCTGAGGTTTCTCTGGGTTGGCTTTCGTTCCTTTTCCAAGCAGGCTTGTCTTTGTGGATTACAAACCCATTAAACGCGCAGGGCCAAGTGCTAAAGTGTTTGCTTCAACAAACCGTTAACCTGATTATATGCGAAATATATATGATGAGATACGAAATTACTTCTGCAGATGCTCCTGTGACATAACAGGAGAGCAACTGCTCTCTCTTCTTTCCAGCAGAGGGTGATCTACTGATGGAGGAACAGATTTTTCCTCTCTCCAAAAGACTTTGGATGAATCTCAAGCTTTATCCCAGCATTTACTACAACAAGAGTTCAGATTTTGAATTTTTTAATGCTTAAAAAAAAAAAAAGGGAGGATTGATTGGAAAGTATCTGAAATAAATGTGAAAGGATAATTGGTGAATGTGTTAAGAATTTTTTATGTTATACGGTATATTATTTAGGAAAGAAACAATTGGTTATAAGCAGAGGGTTCAAGTTATTATTATTATTATTATTATTATTATTATTATTATTATTATTCTGTTTATTTATATCCCACCTTCTTCCCAACACAGGGACTCAAGGCAGCTAACAATTCTAAAACAATCCAAGTTAAAACAGTGGAAAAACATTAAAAATGCACATTTAAAAAACAATTCAACAATTAAAACATTACATTTTTAAAATTAAAAAATAAAATAAAAATGTAAATGCTATTTAAGTAAGGCAAATATCTATTAGGAAGTTAATACAGGATTCACACTTGTTGTTATATTTTCCAAAGTGTGTCTAACGTAGCTTAGTTTATGTTTGTATTTATGTTTGGAAGTAATTGTGTTCGTAGGATGTACGTCTGTCTGTGGTTGTCTGTATTGTTAAATTTATATGTTTCCTTTACAAAATATAAAATGTTAAAACAACAACTCTTGAGGCTGAGAGAGTGTGACTTCCCCAAGGTCACCCAGTGGGTTTCATGGCCAAGTAGGGAATTGAATCCTGGTCTCCAGAGTCATATAGTCCAATGCTCAAACCACTCTACCTCCGCCATGATGACTGTCTTTTAAAAATCATTCTACTTGCATTCATTTTGGCCTTTGCAAAAACTGACTTTGCCCAAAAGTCATTGATGGGATGGAAAGTTGCCGCACTAGGCTTGCCGTAGGAATAGTTCTTTAGCTCCCAAACAATGGACCAGATTGTATAACCAAACATTTCAGGCCCAGAGGTGTGAACATCGCTTTGCATCAATGTGAGAATTGGATTAAAAAGAGGGAACATTTGGAACATTTGGGCTCAAAGACCTTAATTAAATTCACATTGAGGAGTCAACATATTGGTCTCATATGGATTACAACCCTCCTCCAATTGTGTGTGTGTGTGTGTTTTTTTTAAGTGCTTTGTTTATTTAGATTAACCATTAATTAAATTCACACATTTGGGCATTCAGGAAGGGTTGCTTAAGAATAAAAAACACAAGTTAGAAGCAAAAAAATTAAATTTCTTTTAACTGTCCCCTTCTGCATGACTCTGTAAATATGGAAAGCATTTGGCTTTCAAATGGGTATTTTCAATCCCCTCCTTTCTAATATATATATATATATATGTGTGTGTGTGTGTGTGTATATATATATATATATATATATATATATATATATAATTCTAAGAGGGGGGAGAAGTTGTTGACCCGACAAGGTATCATTTCCTTGCTGTTAAATCCTATGCAAAGGATCCAGCCTGTTGCTTAAAGGTTGAACTCCTAACCACAGTTTTAAATTATGCTGGATTGCGGAAAGGTCATAAAAAAAAATCTTTCAATAAAAGTGTCTTGGAGGAGAACTGGGCAGGTAAAACACACAAATAAGTACTCCGTTTCATAGCAGCCAGTATGTTTGGGTCAGTGATGAAAAACAGGAGGTCACCGATCATAGCATTATGACCCCTTGCTGGTCATTCGAAGGCCTGGCTCCATAAATCTGTCATATAATAACCGCAGCAAGGTTGCAGGAAAACTCTGCAAAACTGGCATGGCAGCGATGCATTGGCTTCTCCTCCTTGAAAGGAAAACTTCTTTTTGCAAAAGGATGGTGGAAATGGGAGCTATTGGCAAACTCTGTATACTGTGTTGGCAAACACGGAGGCTGCACATGTTAAACTGACCGGTTGGTTAGATCAGCCTTTCATGTTCTGGTGCCTTGGACTGCAAATCCCATCACCCAGCAAGATGCTCTGAGGGAGAGTTGTCTGGGGATGACGGGAATTGTATAGACGAACACATCTGAGAGTGGCACTAGTTTAGGGGATGCTGTACTGAGCATGGTCAGTTTTAAAAAATGGGGTCTGATTTAACTGGACAGTGGTGTAGTGGTTTGAGTGCTGGATTAGAACTAATCCATAAAACCCACTGAATGACCTTAGGCAAGTCACAGGCTCTCAGCCTCAGGGGAAGGCAAGGGCAAACCTTCTCTGAACAAATTGTGCCAAGAAAACCCCCGGATAGAGCCGCCTTGGAGTTGCCATAAGTCGGGAAGGACTTGAAGGCACGCAACCACAACATAATTCAATAATATTTTCCATCAGTCCCCATATTTCTAGCATTGCAGTAGCGAGCAAGCAAACATTTTGGCTGCGTCTGCGCTGCAGAATTAATGCAGTTTGACACCGCTGTAACTGCCATGGCTCAATGCTATGGACGTCTGGGATTGATAGCTTCGTGAGCTGTTTAGCTTTCACTGTCGGAGAGCTCTGGTGCCACAACATACTACAAATCCCAGGATTTCATAGGATGGAGCCCAAGCATTTTGGATAGCAGGGGGAAATGAGGGAGGAGTATAATCTTGCCCTTCCCAGTACACTCAGTCAAAAACAAACTTCCTTTATCTGAGTGTACTGGGAAGGGATTGAGTGCACTGGGAAGAGCTCAGCTGCAGCAGTTTGCTTTTGGCTGAATGTACTGGGAAGGAACTGAGCGTACTGGAAAGAGCACAGCTGCAGCAATTTGCTTTTGACTGAGCGTACTGGGAAGGGACTGAGTTTACTGGGAAGAGCCCAGCTGCAGCAGTTTGCTTTCGGCTGAGTGTACTGGGAAAGGACGGAGCGTACTGGGAGGAGCACAGCTGCGGCAGTTTGCTTTTGACTGAGTATACTGGGAAGGGACTGACTGTACTGGGAAGAGCCCAGCTGCAGCAGTTTGCTTTCGGCTGAATGTACTGGGAAGGGACTGAGCATACTGGGAAGACCCCAGCTGCAGCAGTTTGCTTTTGGCTGAGTGTACTGGGAAGGGACTGAGCGTACTGGGAAGAGCCCAGCTGCAGCAGTTTGCTTTTGACTGAGTGTACTGGGAAGGGCAAGATTACACTTCTTCCTCTGCTGAATTCTTCCTCATGAATAACATTTTGACCATACTCTGAGGTTGCTTGGCCACATGTGTCCCAGTTTTCAGCTGTGAAATGGCAAAGGCTTTGCAGTCTCCTTAGCCTGATGGTTAATTCAGGCCTGCTTCTCATTTTGCAGACTTCTCTCCCCTTTGGGTGAGAGGGTCTGTGCACCACAGCTTTCACCACGGACGATGACCCACGGCGATGGCTTTTCATCAAGCAAAGGGTGAAATCTGGAAACCAGATGCCTTTTGTACGGATGTGTAAAACAAGAACGGTAGGGCGATAATCGTGACTCATCGCCCTGTAGTCATTAGCAAATATTCTATTTTGTGTCAATAAACGGAATTTAAGCACTTAGTAGCTAAGCTTCTTAAAATTCATAGCTGATGAGGGAGCAATTAGGAGAGGATTTTAATGAATACCCATAAACTCTGACAGCGTCTGCCGTGGAAGAAAGCTTCATCTCTTTCTCGCTTAGCTGGCTCTTTTTATTATTTTTTTCACCCCCTACTTTAATTTGGAATATTGTTCCGACGGATAAATGGCAATGAAACACTATTAAAGAGAAAACTCTTATCTTTCGGGCTAATTATGTTAATCTTTCAACCTTTATCTCACTTTATTGGCGGACTGGCAAACAGGCGCAGCAGCAGTTTGAAACTGGGAGAGCTGGAGTGGCGCAATTGGTAGAAAATTGGACTCAGATGCTGGGCGGGTGGATAGTGAGGAAGACCTGGGTTCAAATCCTTGCTCAGCCAGATTTGCAGGTTTTCTTTCAGACCACTTTCCATGAAATTCCTTGGAGAAAAGGCACAACACAAAGAAATATGTAAACTGAAAAGTACGGTA